TTCTCCACCGCCGTCAGACTCACCTTGCCTTACCAGACTCGCCCCACAACACTTAGCGTCCCACCGTAGCACAGGGATTGTTTTTTAAACATAATTTATTGTCAAATTGCTTTCCATACAACATCCAGTGCTCATCTCAGCAAGATAGCACAGAGATTATAGCTATACAACCAGAGACCTAACTCAAGACGCATTCACCACATGGCATCTAGCATCACAGGGCTACACAGAGACGTGCCGCCTAACCCAGGAACTAGATCTGGAACACTCAGACTTGCCCCACAGTCCTCAGAGACTCATACCATGGCACAGACAAGATCCACACACAGAGACGTAACCACAACACGCACATTCACCCCAGAAGACCCACACTTGCCCCCAACTGCACAGTCTCATTACACAAGTCTCAGGAGGCCTCATCCACCAAAAAGAACAGCACAGTATGCATGCTCACCCTGGACTATACAGCTTCCCTTCACGAGGCCCATGCTCACTCTATCACACTTCCTCCTCAACAACACGTTGCCCCACAGGGTACAAACGGAGGACCTCCACGCTCGTGCAGAACTTTGACAAGTGACTTGACTTTTCTGAGTCTGGACGCCCATTTGTAAACATGGACAGAGTGCTTCCTTTGAGGTCATCCGGAGAATTCAGTAAGATAATTTCAAGAAAGAACCAAGGTTTAGAGCACGGTCTTTGGAGGCAAACATGCCTGCTTACTGGCACTGGAACCTGGGCACATTCGATGGTAGAAATGGTCAGTGGTAGAACAGAAGGAACGTGGCTTTGGTGTCCATCAGGCCCGTGTTTGAATTCTGCCTCTGCCACTTGTTGGCCAAATGACCTACAGGACGCACTCGGACTCTCCGATCTTCAGCCCTCACTTGTAAACTGGGGGTGACGCCGGCTCTGGCCTCTTAGTTCGTGATAAGGATGAAATGACACCAGGCCTCTTCATCTGAATGTCGAGGCAAAGACAAGTAGGATGAGCAAGAAAGTGGGGGTGACTCTGGAGCCCTTCTGTGATGGGTGGGCTTTGGACGGCCAGGCGGCGGCATGCGGGCTCTGCCTGGGGCCGGAGAGGAGGAGGAAGGTGGGTGTGCGCCAGGGTCCCCCACATAAATGCCTGCGACGGCGGCGGGATTTGAAGAACTGAGGAGCCACCCACTTTTTGTCTTCAGATTATAAAAAGCCTGTGTTCTTAGACCATAGTCACCAGCTTCCATAATCCACATTTTTCCAGAGAGTCCATGTTGTGATGTTTATTTTCTTGGCTGCTTCAAGAGTAGGAAGAAAAGCTTGAGCTCCTTCTGCTGGCTGAGTCATAGACAAGCAGGTGTGGAAATGACCAGAAAAGTTTTTCGGGAAGGAAGTGCTCACATCTGTGCACACATATTCATCATAGATAAGTACACGCTAGAACACACACACACACGCACACACACGCACACAGTGCCACAGATATTCACACTGGCCCAGACCTACAGGTGTGTCATAATCCCACACACCGTAGATTCCTACAGCCGCAGCCAAAGACCTATGTTTTCCCAAGTATGAACATAAAATTCAGAGTCCCAACAGGGGTCATCTCCTACATACACAGATACATATATGCATACACACAGGTACACACAAATGCCCACAGCTCTGTGTGTAGGTGCAGAGCAACATACACTCACAAACACACAATCCACACTCACACAGACCCAGGGACGCGTGCAGAGGCGTATACGCTGACCTGGCCAGCATCCAGAGGACGTGTTTACTGATTCGTAGCCTCAAAGATGCAAAATCACAGATGCACACGCATATATGCACTTACAAAAACATGTAGAAGCCTCTAGAGGCTCATGAGGCATAGACACATGCTCAGACACCCCTCGACATTTATGCAGAGATGTAGACAGGCATATGTGAACCCACACAGACACACATGTTTGCGTGTGTGCATGCGTATAGACAGATGCATAAAGTCATCCATACGTGGACACGGGTGCATGTGTATTTACTGAGATGCAGACACAGAGACATGAATGCAAACATTGAAACATAAAGAGTCATTCGTGGTTAGACACGTGTGTTTTAAACATGTACTTACCGGTGTTGTCATGCTTATAGAGTCACATACGTGTGCACACAGCAGCATAGTTGTTATTGTAGCACACATGTATAAACAAGTTTTTCCACATGCACACCATGAAAATTTAGTGTGCACACGTGCATATGCATGAAAATGCATATGGAAGTACAGAAAGGAATGTTCGTGCATGTGGGTGTACATGTGGAAATAGACAAGCACGCAGGTGTACACATATAAATACATTTGTATGTGGAGATGTATACATGCACACAGATACAAAACAGAGATTTCGACTTGCATATACACAGAGAGATAGTGGCATATACGTTTAGAGAGATGCTTGTCTATCTAGAGAGAGATGTATTATATATAGATCCAGAGAGAGAGAGAGAGAGAGAGAGAGAGAGAGAGAGAAAACAATTGGGCAGAAATGCTTTTATATGCAGAAACATATACCCACACTTACAGACATGGGCCTAAAGACCCACACAAAGATATACATGCAAACACTTCTGCACTCACAGAGACTCACTCAGATGCGCGAGAGGAGCATGTAAAGTCACATACACGTGCAGGAGCGCACGTACATTCACAGAGATGCAGGCATGTGCACAGAGGCAGCGGACCCACACCCATATAGAATCACCAAGAGATGGATACGGAAGTTTGAGCAGATACATGCAGAGACACATATACAGATTTCCACACATGCAGGTATTCCACATGGATATACAGATAGACGCGGAGACCCACAGACATCCACCGGAGCAAACACAGAGGCACACAGAAGCACGCGTGTCTGTTGATCTGTGCACCTAGTCTTAGAAATGCATGCGCACACGGGCAGAATCCAGGATACCCTTCAGACATACAGTTGTGCAGACACTTGTATGTACCGCCGTGTGTGTGCATGCAAACATAGATGAGTGTGCACACCACAGAAGCGTGCACAAACACGGCCAGACATGTACACACAGACATGCAAAATTCCCACGCACACAGAGTCCTTCTATCATGCAGCAACACGAACATCTGCACAGGGACACACAGATCCATTCACCTGCAGAGCCAGCCAAAGAAATTCCTTGTCGCGTAGACAGATTGATGTAGACACACTCACGCCCGTCCCCATGGACGTGCAGATGGTCACACACATAGACACATGTAGAGGTGGCCGAACAGATGGATGAGCACTGAAGCACGCACCCGTGGAGGTAGAAGCACCTCGTCACAAAGAGGCTTCCAGGCGAGGATGTACAGGTCCAGACCCATTGACTCACACTCAGACACAGGCACAGACATTATGTACACACAGACCCAGACACATGCCCCTACTCACACAGATGAATAATTGCAAGCGGTGAACATGAGGACAAAACATTTCCACACAGACATAGATGCCATTGATACACATGGACTCATGCAGAGATATATACATGAGAGTATAGGTACAGGTCTACAGACTTACATATGTACACGTAGACATGGGCACTGCCTCCAAAGAAAACAAGATTTCATCTACTCAGATGGTGACACACTCCCAACCCCCCTTATAGGCACATGCGCACACAACTCTATAAGAGCATATGTGTGTGCAACATACGGGCACATAAATGCACATGCACATGTCCACTCAGATGCCAGCTGTACCCACCCAGGAATACACGCCCTCGGCATATAAAAGAGACGTTCACACATATATTTGCAGACAACACGGACCTAAACATGGTATAAAATACACATCCGCAGGCACACAAATGCAGACATGCACCTTCACATGTCAACATGGATACACGTTGTCACATGTGTACATACACACAAATAATCTACAAATGTACTCCCGTGCCCACGTGGCACTCAGTCCTAGACGTGCATCAGATACATGGATGCACACACATACATGTGCCAACATACACATATAGATGCATACATGGACTCAGTCATGCTGCAAACAAACACAGACACATGCACAGATATAGAGACATACGCAGATTTATACATGTGAAAAAAGAGACTCAAATACTTACAAAAAGACACACAAATAACACTTTTTCAAAGGACACTATGACTTTTAATGTACCTTTTTCTTAGCCTCTTCAAGAGAAAATGGAAATTATTGAGCTCCCTCCAATGACTATACAGGATAAAAGCAGATGCAAAGATTACCAGAAAGAGATCTAAAAGATCCGGAGTGCACAGGTGTTTGTGTGTGTGTGTGCACACACACACACACACACACACACACACACACTTCCACATGCACAGAACCACACAGAAGCACAGAAAGACAAATATGCATAACCAAATGCAGAAAGACACATAGACAGGTGCGCGCACACACACACACACACGCCCCACTGAAACATCACACAGTATACTATTTAAGGGCATGGCTACTGAATTAGGAAAAACAAAACAAAACAAAACCTGCATTTTCCTACTAACTGAATGGTTTGGGGCCATTTTCCTGCTTTCTTACCTGTAATATGGGGTAATAGTAACACCTATCTCTTAGAGTTGTTTAAAGGTTCAGTGAAATGAAAGTTTTAGCCTTTTGCTTGGAATATCATAGATGCTGCTTTTTGGGTTTGCTGGAACTGAAGTTCTTAGCTGCATAAGGTTTGGGTTTTATGATCAAAGTGCATGGTTCTATAATAGAATGTATTAATGTTATTTGTAGGTGGTATTAATGAAGGGTAGGCTACCTTCATAAACAAGGCCACTTTATGAAATTTTCAGAGATGATAAAGGCTTATTACTGTCCCTGGAAAATGGGAACAAATATTTCCTGTAATTATTTGTTGTGATTGTCGCTGTTAGTCATATCCTTTTCCTTTTTGCAGGAGGAGATTGGATGATTGAGAGAGCCCTTGGAAGAGGGGAAGAGGGCTGCATGCCCAGTGCATATTTGCCATCTAGTGCCCGTAGTGAGTAAGTGCAGTGTTTGTGGATTGCTCAGGATATCCCTACAATTTCACCCATTGCAAGGTTGCATTACCGGCCTGGAAAATAAGCTGGTATACTTCAACTTATAGTGGTTTCTGCTATATTCAGAAATTAAAAATGACAACAAAATAAAAGAAATATCTCTAAATTTCCTTTCCCCCACTTAGTTTTCCTCTGGGCTTCACTGAGACTGTGTTCTATAGCAGTGGTTTTCAAACTTTCCAATTATAGGCCAGCTAAAATAATTTTGAGAAATCTCAACTCCATCATCCATCTTGAAGCTGGCATCTGAAATTTCTTATCGTGTGTTTAATTGTTTGTAGTTATTATTTCTATTCTAGCATATTATAAATACTTAGACTTTTAAACAAAATGATTTAGTCAGATTTTTATATTCATTCAGTGAACTGAAACTACCATAATATCTTGATACTTGTCATTGTTGATTTAAAAGCAAACAAAGGGAAAAAAAACATGGTCAGAAACTTTCATGATATTATCTCCCTGAAGTCCCCATTCTGTGTAACTCCCCTCAATAATTTATCCTAATGTAATATATTTTTGTGTTTAAAAGCCTTTTACTGGTCATCCTACTGTACATCTCTGTGTTTTACATATGGGTTGAAATAAATTTTCCTCTAATGCTAAGTTTATTAACTATTAAACTTTTTATCATTGAATTATTAGTAGTATACAGTTTCTCAAAACAATATGAAATTTTACATATATTTATAAGTGCTTACTAAAAATGAAAACTCAAATTTGGTTGGAAATACATCCTTTGAGTGCCTATAGTTGTTATTTCCCCCAAATTAGTTCATGACTCTAAGGATGACTGTTACTTCTAATGAGACAGTACAGTATAAATGTTATTCCTATTTTTCACATATAGAACTCTAAGAACTCAGAAAACTTTGTTCCCATAAATAGGTAGAAGGGAATGGAATGAATGGCCAAGTCATAAGTCAAAAATCACAGTGATCTGTCACCAAAAATAATTTTTAGTGATTTAAATGTTTTAATTAAAATTTAAAATTGTTAACAGAGAACTTTTGATTAGGCCTATCCTTAGTTCCATGAAAGCAAAGAAGCCCCAATTTTACAAAAGGATTTGTTGCCGAATCATTTATTTCTGAGTTTTCTGGTAAGTTTACCAAAATGACTTTACCATGCTTTAGCAAATGACTATAATATCGGTCATACTTTCATTTTGAGGCATTATTTTTAATCCAATGTGCTTACAAAAGGTTGGAAAAATCAAAATACTTAGATGAATATGCCTTAGCCGATACAATAATTTTGACAAAGTGCCTTGAATTTGTTATACCCTTTAAATATAAAACTTGGAGGCTGTAACTTCGGGTCATGATTTCATAGAAAATATTTATAATATAACTTAATTGGCAAAAGCAATGTCCATATCAAAATAATCAGCCATATCAGCTGTACCTTCAGAAAAAGTGTTCTACTTCATTTCACAGTGGAAAAAAGGAACTGATATGCACTTTGAGGAGTAAATAGATTAAATATTAGTAGATTAAATAGACTAAAATTATAATGAGATTTTTATCTACTTCAAAATAAATTGAGAAATTAATAATTTTGTTTCTCATGTGATTTTAAATTAAAGAATGTAATATGTAGCTAACATAATTCATGTATGAAAGAAGAAATCCGATGGCAGATGTAGTTTCCTTTGGTAAACACTTATGCATATGTTTTTACAACTCTGGTGTCGGGTTTCTGGAATAATTAACTAGGAATCATGTACAAAAATTTTAAAATTCCATTAATTTTATTAGACCACAGAATCAAACGTTTCAACCATATTTTATCAGGAGAAAAATATACATAGGTAAAGAATAATCGGTCTGGAAAATACCATATTTTGTTTTCGAAAATGGGAGGTAGAAAATACTTATAAAATGAAATGAGGGTTGACTTTGATTGGAAAAGATATTTCAAGATTCAACCTGAGAAAACAGGTTTTCACTCATTTAATTGAATGACGGACCTTATAAGAAAGAAATCACATACAATTTCTATGCATCGGTTTTACCAGTGTCACCATTTTGCAATATAGGAAAACACTCTAGTTCTATTTGCAGAATCAGCATCAGCAGTCTATCCTGCTGTTAGTCAAGACGTGCATTTCTTTCCAGTTAATGATGCATTTAAGCAAGCGGTATTAAGAATAGTTGCAAACTAATGCTTAATTTTAAGCACGTGGGGAAAAAAAAGTTGTTATTAGGCAGATAAATTTTAGTAGAGAAGATCCACGGGAGCTGAGAATCTGAGAGCGGATCCTATGCAAACTATCCCTGCTCGCATACTTCTAGAAAAGATTTCATGTACCAGTAGCCTAGTTTGAAGACCACTGCCCTAGACTGTTTTCAGCAGAATTGCTCTAGAGCATATATTGTTGTCATCATTGAGGTACTCAGTTCATTGTAATTGACATTCACCAGAGTGCCGTGGAAATAGCTGCCACTGTTGAATTTCTGCTGAATGTTCTGGAAGGGATTATGTTATTTTGCCGATAAACGTATGTGTTGATTTGACTGCATTGTCCCATACAGGAGCCACATGTGGCTATTGAGCATTTGAAATGTGGCTGGTGCGAACTATGATATATTATAAGTGCAGAATACAGTCTACGCCAGATTTCAAAGACAGGGCTAAGATAAATACAATATTTCATAAATATTTTTATACTGATCACATGTTGAAATGGCAGTCTTCTGGATATATTGAGTTCAATAACACATATTATTTAAAATGAATCTTACCTACTTTGTAAACTTTTAAAAACGTTGCGCATGAAATTTAAAATTGCATCTGTAGCTTGCATCATACGTATTGTACGTGATGGTGCTGCTCTAGACCTTACGTTGGTGTTCTCGAACTTCCTCTAAAAGCATGACCACAGGAACAACTGATCTGTCCACGAATCTGGTTCGGTATATTGGTAACTCTTGTGAAGCTAGTACCTTTTACCAGTGTTTGGGTTTTCAGGTTGGGGGGTTTCTAGTTGTAAGCAGGAGAAAGTAAAAAAACCCTCAATATTCCACCCAAGGTATTTAAAAAGTAGTCTTTTATTAGCACCTAGGAATTTTCCCAGTACGAACTTTGGGTGGCTTCTCAGCGGGTGCATGGGCAGCTTTTCAGACTCTTCCAAAATGCCAGTGGCAGACATGGCATTCTATGGAAGATATGAAGTATTTCATCACATTTGAGATGCTTTTTTATGGAATTAAGTTTTTATGTAACACCAAGAAAGAAAACAAACACCCCTAAATAAACTATGATGTAATGCTTTCATATCCATAGAATTTTAATTTTATATTTACTCAGAGAGCTCTTTTTGGCTTATTTAGATACATGTTTATCATATGTCATGATACTACAATAGCCATGACCAGATTTCAGTAGATACACAGGCAATGGCAGCTCCCTTTCAACTGCCTCCTGGCTGACAGCGATGGTAAAATGCCATTGATTATAAGGTGCGTTCTGATTTCGGAGACGTATAAAAGGCAAGAAAAGATACATGCTGGAATCGGGTAAATATGGTAAGTCGTTTCTTCAGAAAAAAGGACCGTGGAGGACAGAAAGCAAACCCTAAGACCTCCCCCTAGCGAAAACACCTGTGCTGTGTTTGCAGAAAACAAAATGTGGCTCTTATCTAAAAATTTATCCCAGCGCCCTTAAATGACATTGCGTTGTGCATTTCATCTTAGTTGTCGTTTCAGGGCTTTCTTAGCATTCTTTTGTTTGTGTCCTGGCTCGGGAGTGAAAAGGTCTAGCATCTCTGTTGTGAGAACCACTTAGCACAGTCTCGTGTGAGGCTGTGCCTTCAATGGCACTGTTCGTTCTTCGTAAGTGGGCTAACAGAGGGGGCCTTTCTCCTTGTGGTAGTTTAGTTTAATTTTAACATATTCATCGTATCCTTTCTTGACTGGAGGGCTTGACAAGAGGGACGAATGGAGATCGAGCGGCTTTTTGAGTTTTTGTTTCACATAGTATTCAAGAGGCTCAGCAAGATGAATCAGAACTCCACAGGAAGTACATTATCTCAAGAATCAATGAAAACAACCCTAGATTCGCTATCCAGGAATTGTGACACATCTCTGATCCTAATGATACTCTTGACAACAGGAGAGATTTACAAGAGGTAACAGAAACAAAAGTTTTCATGAAATGAGAAGAATAAGAGAACCAATGACCCGTTTCCTTCATTGCCCCTACAGTGAAGCATTATTCTAAGATTTACATATCTCTTAAGGGTTCAGAAGCAGGGCCAGCTTCACGGACTTGTGACTTGTGCGTCTCATAGGGCTCCATGCTGGGTTTAAGGCTCTGCTGTCCTGGTCTTGACATTCTTATCAATAAGTTTGGTAAAAGGGGCCCCACGTTTTCATTTTGCACTGGGCCCCACCAATCACGTAGTTGATCCTCTTCAAAAGGAGACACTTGCGAGAGAGAGAATAGTGAACTCAAGTTGCGAAGTTAAATTAGAAGTGTTGCTTCTCTAATGTTATGCACCGAAACTGAATTCTTTATGTCAGTACTCATAAACATAGTATTCATAACCTACCGTCGCTGTCGTTGTTGTCGTTAGGTGTAATAGTTGTCAAAGTAGTAACAGGAATAGTATTACTCAACAGTCCCTTATTTTGACTCCCTCATTTACGCATGTGACCTGGGGCATCTTCTGCGTCTCTACTTTCTTTCTTTAAATTTTAAAGTCTTTATTTTATTTCATTTTATTTTAATCCCAGTACAGTGGACATACAATGTAATATTAGTTGCAGGTGTACAAGATAGTGATTGAAAACCTCCATACGACACCTGGGGCTCCTCATGACAAGTGCCCTCCTTAGTCCCTGTCACCTATTTCACCCATCCCCCACCCCACTCCCCTCTGGCTACCATCAGTTTATTCTCTATAGGCAAGAGTCTGTCTCTTGCTTTGTCTCTC